AAAGAGGAGGAGGTGATGGGAGGGGTAGGAGAGTCACTCTTCACACTTTGCTCTCCTCCCAGCTTTGTACACTGAGAGGTAACGGAAAGGGGGGTGGGGGAGAATTGGATAGAAGATCAAGCCTTTGGGAGCTTCAGGCAGGACTGACAATGACATGGCCATTTCCATAATGGGAAGACAAGGGAAGTGAAATCACAATAAAGTATGCTCGACCACCCTTATTATTATCCTTTCAGCTGACTGGCTGAGGCTGCTAATGAGACACAAGCTCCCAGCAAGCTTGCCTCATCAAAATTTCAAAACATGATGGACTCTCTAAAGCATTAGTTATCTCTCCTGTGGATTTTTCTGAAGGCACAGAGATTCAGAGAAGAGATGGCACATTACAGTAGAACAAATTGTAGCATTCTAGAATAGAAGATGCTAGGTCAGTGGTGGCGAACCTCTGGCACAGGTGCCAGAGGTGGCACTCAGAGCCCTCTCTGTGGGCACGCATGCCATCATCCCAGCCAGGCCCAGACCATCATTAAAGTGTCAAATTCTCTGTCAAATAATTTTAAGTAAATGAAAGCATTTGGGATTGCTTTCCTTACTTTGTTTAGATCATCTTAAATTAATGTATGAGTTGCTTTTTTCTAAAGTAAAACCTCAGTATTCAGGTTAAATTGCCATGTTGGCACTTTGCGATAAATAAGTGGGTTTTGGGTCGCAGTTTGGGCACTCGGTCTCTAAAAGATTCGCTATCACTGTGCTAGGTGAACATGAGGAATACTGCTTACATTAAAGGCACCTGGCAGCCTCAGTTTCCCACTGCACTGATCTCAGCCAGTTGGCTAGGCAGCAGCATAACTAAAGTCTTGGAAGGTCTTCAGTTCAAAGAAGGTAAGACTAACATGGAAGGGACACTGGCCTGAATTTGGGAAGCAGCCATCCTCCTTAAAATCAAGCTATATTTAATGGTGGACGTAAATAAGGATTTTAAGCCCCATATGGACCACTTGACCTGAAATAAATTCTGTCCCCTGGTATTATACCCACAAGCATCCCATCCACATACACATGCATTCTTAAAGCATTAGAACACTGGGGTGTTTTCTAAGGCCAAGGAATTTTTGCCATCTTCTGAAGTTTGCGTGTATGTAAAACAGTTGACACTGGCCCCTGTGAACATGTATTAACCAATCTGGAATCCTAATTATGTGAACTTCCGCAGTGAGGAGCAATTTTGACCTGCAGTGGTACAAACACAAGTGAATATAGAACTCTAAAGTAACTAATGTCAAAATGCAAGATTATGAGCCTAAGAGGGCCAGTGAGTCCAGAACCCAAATTAATTATACAATCCACATCCTATTGAGATTAATTGGAGACATCTAATTGATTGCAATCCTCCTCCTCTACAGATTTTCACCCACATGGGTTCCCTTCCCCCGCTGAACTTACCGGCCAGGTGAAGCCGAAGGGGAAGCGGATGGGGTTGCTGAAGGAGGGATCGCCGCTGGCGGCGTTGTCAGGCACACTGAAGGAGTTGGCTCCCAGAACAGGGGTGATGGCGCTGCCGTAGGTACAGGGTGGCTCCGGAGAGACGCTGGCTTGGTAGTGTTTGAGGCACACGCGGAAGAACGTCTTGCAGTCGCACTGCTGCAGCCCGGAGGCCGAGCCGCCGCTGGGCAGGGCCGCGCCAAGGCCTCCCCGGCAGCAATTGCGGTTGCCCAGAAGCCCCTTCTTGTTGACAAACTCCTGCAGCTTCAGCTCGAACACGCCGGAGCTCCGAACCTGCGGGGCGGGGGGGCATCATAAGAGCCATGAATGGGGGAAGACGAGAGTGGGAGGCGAGATAAAATGTAAAGGAGGAGGGGAAGGAGGCAGCAATTTTATCAATGGGCATTTTGCCCCGTTGCAGAGCAGCACGAGCGAGACGCGAGGCGCTCGAGCCCCCAGGCCAGGGCTCGCCAAGCCCCGCAAATGCATCGATGGCAAAAAGCCCACTCAGTCGATCGGACACTCCGATAGGGGGCAGCGGCTGTTTGCAGTTCACGTGCCCCGGCTACCGGAGTTCCGCTAATACCGGGGCACTCCCAAACCCCTGAAATCCCTGTCGCTCCGCCGGGTGGTGTTGGTTCATCTGCTTGAACACGTTCGTGTGCACGCAGACGGCGACGCGCGCTACCTCTAGAGCCGGGACGGGGAAGCGAGACATCCCCAGGATCGCTTCACTTCAGGCCGCCTCCCTCACACCCACACGCCATCCCCGAGAGAGGCGGACTGCTGGGGCTCTCCCAAAGGGGGGCACCAAACTTTCCGTCAGGGCAGGGCCCTCGAGTGTCACCGTCCTTGTCAATTCGGTCACGCGCCCCGGATGCTTACCTGGCTGGGCAACAGAAGCGCGCAGGAGACAAGGAGCGCCAGCAGGGACCGACCTCCCATTTTGAGGCGGGGGGGGGGGTGTCGGAGGGAGATATCTGGGGCCGCTTTTCTTCTCTGCTTTCCGACAGAGAAAACGGGTAGATACGCCCATTGGATAACTGACAGCTCGGGGGGGGGGCGATTTTTTCTTTCTTTCTTTCAAAGACGACGAAGAGTCTCGAGGAACAACTTTTGCCCTCCCCGCTGGCCTTTCTCCCCACAGTTCTTGCGGCTGCCCCGGCGCTTCGGTCTTCTCCAGCCGGGAGAGGAGAAGGAGCGAAAAGCCAGTTAATTCCCAGAGGCGGAGAAAAAGCTTCCCAAGCAGATTAAAATAATCAACGATCTGGAAATCCCTCAGGGGACGAGGAGGAGATAATTCCCGGCGGCTTCAGGCGAAGGGCGGCGGGGGGTGGGGGGGAGGCGGTCGGCGTGCGTGTGCCGCGGCGCTGGCGCTTGTCAGGCAGCCGTCTTCAGAGCACCCGGGGCTGCCGCTCACCACTTTCCGCGCAGGCAGCCCCAAGCTGCAAGTGGTGCCTGGTGGTGGTGGTGGTTTCCCCCTTTCTTGAAAGATTCCAAGCCCCAAAAGGAAGGCAAAGGGACCGATTATTTTTTTTCTCAAGTCAAGGGACTAGCGACGAGACCCGCGCGTGTGTCTGTGGCTCCCCAGATATCTCCCGCTCTTCCTATGTATGGGTATTCTCTGCTCTCGCCTTGGCGCTGGCTGGCTGTCAGCTCTGCTGGCTCGGTGGCGCTCTACGGATCTGCCTGCGGTCGGGCGCCTGCCTGCCTTATATCTCGCCGGCCGCATGGCTAATGAGATGCAAATGAGCATCCCCCCAATCTGGCTAGAGCGGCCACAAAGGAACCACTTTTTCCAAGCCCTCCTCTCAATGGATCGCCAAATGGTCAGTGAGCTGTAAAATGGGCAACCCTCCTCCTCTTCCCCTCCCCTGTGGGTCCCACCAAAAACGGGGGGGGGGGCTCATTTACATTCCTGCAAGTTCAGAAACCGCAATCACCACCCCCTCCCTTCCCCAGAATGCGCGCACACACTTTCCCCTTCTGCTCCGAGGAGATGGCAACACGCCACGGGTTTTCCGCTCTCGTCTGAACAGAGAGAGCCTTCCTTTCCTGCAAGGAAACAAGCTTTGATCCAGAACTGATCTTGTCTTGAAATGAATGATATATTAAAAAAAAAAAGTTGTTAAGAAGTAGTGTTTTGGAAAAGGGGTCTTAAGGATAACCCTCGGCTTAGGGAAGAAACCGCGTCAGCATCACGCCCCATTGATATCGAATACTTTAAACCCGACACGTGGGCTCAAATAATATTTTTTAAGTATCATAAGTTCCCGACCTGAAAAAGGGGGAGGAGAACAGGCGGGGCGAAACGAGCTGGTGTGGTGGGGGTAAGCCCCATTAAGTATACTCTGCGGGGGGGGGGGAGCCCCATTAGGTAGAATGGGAACTACTTCTGAGTAGACTTGCTTAGGCTTGGTCTGGCAGGCACTAAACGCAAAGACCCGAGGGTGCACACGTCAGAGGCATCCAGTGATCTTGGGGGACGGGGGTGGAAGAGGTTTGCCCCTCCGGGGCGCATTGGGTGAGTTTCCCGAAGTTTGAAGACCTCGGAATCTCTGCGCTCCTTTTCCTGATCATTATGCGGAACACACCCCCAAAGACTTTCATACTCAAACAATCCGGGAAAGACCCATGTGTTAAGTTCCAGGCGGGGGAGATGTGGGAGGGATGGAGGGAGGATCGGCTGGGTAAACAGTCCCGGTTTTTAAAGGCCAAAAAAAAAAAAATGCACACACACCCCTGGAATTCTTGGTTAAACTGGCAAACCTCACGACAGCTCGTCTCAATTTTTCCCTTCCTGTATGATGATCATCATCCCTGGCTCGCTCTCGCTGCCTTTTCCCTCCTTCGAGCTTAGTAAAAAAAGTGAGTTTGGTGTGTGTCGTTCGCGTGGCTGTCATTAAGGCAGTTTGTTATTATGTGAGGCCTGAATCAGTTGGCCCTTTGTGCTCTCAGCTGTATGGTAATCTAGACAGCACCTGCTCCCTGCACAATACAAAGGAGAGAAAGAGCTCCCCTCGGCGCACGCTACTGCCTCTACAACAATGTGCACACATTTTTAAAGAAATCCCTTCCAGCTTTCCTTCCCCTCACTACCTCCAGGAGGAGGGAGAAAAACTTTATGCCAACCGTCACCTTATTATTTTTTACACATCCATCAGACACTGGAGCTTTTGTATTGGTTAAAAAAATAGGAAAAGACTTTACTATGATAGACCAAGTTCTGTTAGCCTTCCTTCCTGTCAGCAGAAAAGTAGTAGGAATTTTTTTTTAAGTTTGTTGGTAACTAATGTGGAGTTGATGAAGAACGAGAGGGGGGCTTGAGGAGACAGGGAGGGGATTGTTGTTTTGGGGGCTTGTGGCAAAACACCTCTGTAAACAGACAGAGCCAGTTGGCCAGGCTGGGGCTTCATTGGGATGCAAGGTGTAACTGTCTGTGTAAATGTCATTTGAATTGCAACAGAGCCTTTCAGAGGGCAGCTTTAAGCGGGTGGGCAAGAGAGAGGATCTGGCCACAATGAGCAGCCTGTAGGTATGGCCCTCTCAAAGTCTTCTTTATGGCCACTTTATTGGGTGGGAACGTGCTTTTGCATGACCAAATGTGACTTTCATTGAAGCAGATGTCTTGATCACAAATTACCTTACAATGTGGGGAAGAGAAAAGGGGGGAGGCAATCTGAAACAGTTCCTCAAGTCCAATCCTTGGTAAAGGCTAATTAAAAGAAAATCACTAATTGAATGTGCATTAAAGAGGACTAGCCTATCTTTCATGGCAATCTGTGGCACAATCAGAGCTGGACGCTTCCTGGTCTAATACAGCAGAGGGGGCACCGCTCTCTGCAGCAGGCGCTGTCCAGAACACCAGGACCATCCTGCTGAGCTGAAGTGATATACTGTAAGTACTGACAGCTCAGTGGTAGAGAAGCCAAAAACTTGGAGGAAAAGTGTCCCCTCCTAAGACTTAACATATGGGAATGGGGCACCCGACACTTTTCATGGCTAAGGGCAACTACCCTCACCTGGTCAACAGCATCCCCATTAAACATCTATTAAGAGACAGGACACCTTTCCTCTAGGCTATTGACAGTCCTAGGTCAGAGCAAAACTTTCACCTGCAGAAGTAGCCAAGAGTATGATGCTCCAGGTAGCAGGGCTTAGCACTGGAGGCCTCGGGGGGGATTCTGTCTTTCCGAGAACACAGTGATCAGCTAGATAGACCAATAGGCTGGCTGGAAAAGGTGATTACGTTATCTTGTCCTAACATGACTTGGTCCTTATCTACAGGTAGCCCCGGGAAATGCATGGGACTGCCTGGCTAGATCAGAGGAAGTCTTGGCATGCCAACAGCAGCCATCTGCAGGACATCTGGAAGCTTCCAAGCAGGGCGTGGTGGGGATAGTCCTGCCTGTTCCTGCCTTTGAGCATCCAGGAGATTCTGTCCCCTCCTAAGCAGCTTTATCCAAGGCCTTCTGAACACTCAGTCCCAGTTAGTATGCAGATATTAAGATTTGGCTTTCGTAATGTGAAGCAATTAATTGCTGTCCTAGCTACATCAGTAAGGAAATGGGTTACCTCACTGAGAAACCCAGAGGTAATACTGAACCCCGAGGAGGAGGCAGAGGCTTACTTCAGTTGCGTGAAGCTGGTGAAGAGACTGAAGGAATGTTGCTCCCACGTTTCCTTTGCATCCTGCTTTTCATCCAAGGAGTTTAAGCATAGATGAGGTGAAATGTTAGCTGCTCTGCAGCCCTGGGAAGCAGTTTAAGCTAAAAGATGGTGGCTGGTTCAAGGCCATTTAGACAGCATCACAGCTCAGCAGGCATTTGAAGAAGAAGAGAAGAGATTGGATTTATACCCTTCCCCTCACTACCCTTTCCCCTCCCCACCACACCACACCACTGACACCCTGTGAGGTAGGTGAGTCCGAGAGAGCTCTCTCAAGAACTGTCCTTGAAAGAACAGCTCTGAAAGAACTTATGCACTGGCCCAAGGACACACCAGCAGCTGCATGTGGAGGAGTGGGGAATCAAACCTGGTTCATCCAGAGTAGAGTCTGCGCTCTTAACCACTACACCAAACTGGCTCTCAGTCTGGGAGTTCTTCGTCCTGTCTAGCCACTGTGCCACACTACATCTCACATGGGCTCTGGAGGATAAACCAAGTTAACAGAGTCAGGACTGAAATGAAAGAGAATACCCATACTAAACACGAGCACCTTCACTGGAGCATGGAAGCCAAATACAATAAATAATTAAGTGAGACACAGAAGGGTGTGAGAGACTTTTCAAAAGAAGCACAGACTTGTAGACAGATCAAGGCAGCTAGTTCTCAGCAATAAACAGCAAGGGAAAGGCTGCACCTATTTTTACAAGCAGATATTGAATGAATTGGTGAGGAAAGACCCATTGATGGCAAAGGATCTCTTTTTCACTTAATACGTTTAGAACTGGAATGCCTGGCAGGTAAAGGCCTTCAAAAGAGAAAACAGGCCATGGTTTCCCATAGTTGCCCTAAGCCAGGGGTCCTCAACATGGCACCCCCACACGTCTTTCCTGGTGCCCATCAAGTGTTTTCAGAAAGTGGGTGGAGCCATGTGGAGCTCTTCCACAGAGGGGCTTCTGATTGGCCACTGGAGATGTAATTGGCTGTGCACAATAAAATGGCATTGTTTCAGTTGCAGTTGCCACCACAGGTTTGGTTTTGTGCTCTCTCCTTCCCCTGCTCCCTTGCCCTTCCTCTGTGCCCGTGGCTTTGCGTCCTGGGGCATCCCACTGAGCTGCCCTTTTGTAGTCCTGCCTCCTCCCAGCCTATGTCAGAATGCCAAAGGTGCTCCAGGCTCAGCAAGGTGGGGGAGGTACCCCTGCCCTGAACCAGTGGAAATCCTGCATTCTCACAATTACATTCAGACGCGTGTAGGGTGGTGCAAATAGGCTTGCAGAAAC